ATATATATATATATATATTATATAATATTAATTTTAAATATATAATCATATTATATTAACTTTAAAATATAAATATGCATATAATATTGCAATTTACTATTATAATTTTTCCAATTGTAGATTTCCAATCGTAGATGAATTATAACAATGCATTTTTACGTAAATTTCTCAGCACTTACCAGCGACAATTTTTGATTGATTATAGGTTTCGATTAAAGCAGCAACACTTTTTACTTTAAATCTGACTTGCAAATAAAATATGACCATCCAAACAAGAGCATAATTCGATATTCCGAATATTTCCTTAGAACCAGATAAGTCTCCCAACAAGATCCACTTTTTTAAAAACAATATCAATTTTCGACACGGAGGATACGCCATGTTAAAAGACCTAAAAATTTAATATCTTATCATACTTTGTACAAAACACACTTTGTGCAAAATTCCTTAGAAATACAATAATGCTTCATACTTAATAAACTTGGAATTTTCTACCGAGAGACTATTCATAAACGAGATGTCGCACTGCAATCCTGTTAATCTGTGTTTCACTTTTATTAGAGGAGTCCTACTCTTATCCAAAGTTAATTCTATATTCCAATTCTCATGATCGGTTTTTAAACAATCTTGAATTTGTTTACTTCTATTTTTTATTAATTCGGGATCGGTACATTCGTCACCTAATGAAAAAAAAATATTTTTATAAATTTCTTACATGTTATATTTTGTTTTTATATTTTTTTAAAAATTTGTGCTTTATATAAAATAATTCATGAAATTAAGTGTTGAAAAATATTAAAATCTCGTTATTTTAAACGTATATCAATCGTATCAAACATATTCTTTTGATATTATTTAAATTATCAAAAGATTTAAGTTATCAAAATTTATTTATATTTATATTCTCTTGTTCAAAAACTTTTAAAACATTTAATCGATTTATTATATTATAAACAAATATAACTTACCAAAGTCGAGATATATGTCGATATCACTTTTTGGTAATGCTAAGCCAGTGATTCTTGAACCGAATATACATACCTCTACAGGTAATTGAGTTTCGAAGATATGCTTTAAAGTATCCCTGAGTTGAATTGTTTTCGGATCATTTAATACATCATTTGATGATTTAAACAAATCAGCAGCAATTTTCTCAATGTTTTTCAATAATTCTCGTAATGGTTTCGATAATGATGTAATTGCGAAGTCATTACTCTTTTTAAATACCGATGCGATTGTTTCTTACAGTGTTGTTGATAAGTTAAATATGTAGCTTCGTTAACATTTTCGTTTTTATACCACAAAGTGGCACACGTTAAGCAAAAATCAAATTCTGAATTATCCTTCTTATTGAAAACTGCCTCGTGCATAACACTAAGATGTTCCATAAAATTTATCTTCCTTTTGAATCTATTATTGCATTTAACGCAAGCAAAGTATTGAATGCTATACCACAAAGTCTGAAAATCCTCTAGTATATGCTTGACCGAATCAAGTAGTAATTTGCGTTTGTTTCTGTGTGAAGGCATACGTATATGCCATTTGTAATCCTTTTTATCAGATGCATTCAGATATGTCCCCTTTATATTATCGTTGCAGGCATAACATTTGGCACGTTGAAGATTTACATCTGATGTACGTTCTACTTTTATTAGTTCCTTTAATAGCTCAAAATATTCCTTGTTCTCTTGCAGCTTTATAGTTTTTAAGATTTTTTAAAATGTTTTTCCGAATTTATATGTTCGTATATCGCCTGTGCATCGTCCTGTTGTAGATCGCTACATAGAAGACAGAGCATTTTTCCAAAAGACGGAAGGAAAAATTGCAGATTTAATTTAATTTCTTTGAGTTTTCCTTCATTGCAAGCAAATATGATTTCCTCAAAATCAAGATATTCTTTCCGATACATTTTATTATAACGATCCAAAATGGTCTCTTTAGATTCTGCATGTAAAGTTAATAGTTTTGGACTATTATTGATAAGATCCTTAAATATGCGGAAAGATATAAAAAAGCCAAGTGTATCATCTTTGTCATTAGTAGAGTCAGTTGTAACCATCAAATTATGATCGCGATATTGCTCTGTATTCAGTTGTGTTTCGTTAATATTATATTCCTTCGAAACTTTGTCATTAATCGATACATCATCTCTACAAATTATAGATTTTACATTGTGTGTTTTATTTATATTAAGATTCTTTGAGATAGATGCAATATATATATAATTATATGTAGAAAAAACGTTCTTAAACTGTTTCAAATGTATTAATGTTTCACATAAATGATTAATTATATCTTCAGCTTCAGTAAATATATCGGAACAGATAACGCAAATGTAAACAAAATCTTTCCAAATCGAATTTTTATTAACAGCTTCAGAGTTTTTATTAAAAATTTCAGAGTTTTTATTAAAAGTTTCAGAGTTTTTATTAAAAGTTTCAAAGTTTTTATTAAAAGTTTTAGAGTTTTTATAAAAAGTTTTAAGATGATTTTTAATGTGTATTATCGGTTGTTCTTTAATTTTAATGGTTCCATCATTATTCTCAAAAGAGATTAGAGTTAAAGATTCAAGAGGCTCCAGGTAAATTAATAGATTTTTACAATTATCATACTCTCGTCCTTTAATGTCAATTAATAATCTCACATTTTCTTCATGTTTAAATTTTGAAAAATGAGCTTGTAATGATAATATACCATGTATTATCTCATTGCAAAATGAGCATCGAAATAATGGATAATAAGCAGCAATATTAAAATCTTTAACTGTAAAAGACCAATCAGAGATATATTTCATAGAAAATTTCATGCTATTTTTATGTATTTCTATTTCATGATTTATTATATCATTTTCTTCAATTGTTTTATTACATTGATCACAGATATATTTTGCTGTATTTCCTGTATGTTCTGGCCATACTGTTCCATCTAATCTCTTACTATTACTTAATTGTACTGGTACTTTTATATTAAGAGGAATACCATTTTGTTTATTATGTATATCGTCATTTGAATCTTGTTTCTTATGCTTTATAGAATGGTCTAACTTATTAGCTTTTAAACGTATCTGATGACGTTTTCCTTCTAAATGTTGATAAACGTTATATAAGGAACTTATTGAACAGTTGCAAAATATACAAAAGTATTGAGAATTTATTATATCTTTTATTACTATTCCATGCTTTGATAAATTTTTGTATTTTTTACTTGACATTTTGATAGATTTTTCTAGATCAGATGTTTAGATATTAATATCTGGATGAATGAGTTCTTCTTTTGAATGAGTTTCTGCCTTTTTTTATAGTTTTCAATAATGGTCCTGTATAAACAATAATTGTCCATTATAATATGTTATATGCTGCATGAGAAAATATTTATATATTTTGGTAAAGTTTATATTGTGCTTGTTCTCTCTCTCTCTCTCTCTCCTCCCTCCCCACACATACACACACAATATTATATATATATATATATATATATATATATATATATATATATAAAACAATATAATAAAATAATTTATTAAATTTATTAGAATGTAAAAGGAAAATCCTAAACTATTTATCTAATAATTTGTCATATGCTTATTCATAGTTCCTAACTGCCACTATTGCTATGAATTACACAATTAATAATACCACATATTCCATATGAAATAATAATCACATTGTCATTAAATGCTAAACTGATTTGATAATTCGTAGTTTAAATTTGACTAGACTAAAGCAGCTATTTTTTTTAAATTATATCTACTAAATTATATCTTATATCTTATCTACTCTATTTTATCGCTACATTATCAATCTTCTTCGTGATTTTTTATCGGTATTGACTACGTTATAAGAATAATTTTTAATTCTTAAAATTTGTGTTTCAAAGAAAGAGGCGTTAGCAAGAGGAAAATTATATATCTGAAATTGACAAATCAGACGCACGTAGTTAAAGCGTGACATAAATAAATAGAAACTGTGGACTTATAAGAAATGCTCACTCAATTTTCCTCACGTCACAATCTTATTGGCATAACTTGTTGATCGATAATCTTCATTTTCTTCTTTTTCTATCAATTTAATGGTCCACTCCTGTTCCACTCCAAGGACAATCTAATTAATATCTAATACAAATAATCCTAATTTTTCCCAGTTTTTCGCAGTCTTTCACAGTCCTTCACAGTCCTTTACAATCTTTCACAATCTTCCGAGGTGAGTGATATCCCGGGATTACCCGACGTTGACTTAACTTCCGATGTTGAATCAGCACCCAACAATATGTAATATACATAGACGTACACCTTGGACAGCATTCAATTAGTAAAGCAGCTAAAACGTGATCTACAACGTGGGCAGTAACAACAGTAGATGAATAGTAAATCGTAAAAGATTGATGAATCACAATCGATTATTCTTCTCCTCACATTGATTGCGTTCAGCAAAGAAAATAGATCAGTGAGCATACAGTGATTCTTTATTATGATTGGTTTTTACACTTAAATTCAACGAAGATCTAAAAGCAAGGACCAATCATATTGAAAAATCATCGAACGCTCACTGATCTGCTTTTTCTGCTGAACGCATCCATTCAATTTTATCATCATCACATCCTGTGATCATCACATTCACAATTTCTTACGGCTTACGACTCATTCACTATTGCTACTGCCCATTGCCCATAAACCATGCTAAGGGCTGTGACACATAAAGTCTGTTTTTTTCAGCTGAACTTCTTGCAGTAGTTTATCTTTTCTCTTTTTCTCTCTAACATGGAAAGAAAAAGAAGAAAGATAAACTGTGCAAAAAGTTCAGCCGAAAAGAACAGGCTTTAGAAAAACTTAAGGACCTTTTTAGGCTGACGTTTGACGTCCATCTTCAGCGTCAAAAATACATTACATGATCAAAAGTGACATTCAAATTTAATTATTTTGCGTCAATTTTGATTACGTAACTTCGTTTGACAAACAAGTTATAAACAATCCTAAATATAACATACGTATAGCATAAATACAGCATAAGTATAGCATAAATAAGATTTTTACTATTCCTATATTTGTCTTTGTTTTTTCACTTATTAACATGACAGAATAGTAATGTGGAGAATACGCGGAAAACAAAGATCAAGGATAATGAAGCGTTTATATTGATTATATTATGTAGAAATATAGTTCTTGCATTACTAGATACGTCTTTCTCTTTAGATGAAAAAAGCAATGTATTGATGTATTGTATCTGCTATCTTTCATTTTCCGAAAATAAAAAAGGACATAAGATATTGCTCTCTCGTTCTATCAACTCGAATCTTGATTTTAATTAGAAGACGTATCCAATCATAGTGTAAAGAACCATGTTTCTTTACATCATGGTATCCAATGGTATAAGATTTATGGATAGCAACTTTATGTTACCTCAGTTATTATGTTTACACGGCGATGTTAAGCCTGGTTTAGTAACAACCACAATTAGCGATTTCTTGTATTTAATTGAATCACAATTTTAGATTTAAAAGAATCTACTAATGCGAGATTTCATTAACTACAGTTGTTAGTGAGCCAGATTAACATCGCCGCGTAAATGTAGTGATAATGATGGTTTTGGGAACACACGACGCTTAATCATATACTTATGGTGCGGAAGTGACAGCAAAATTGGTGTAGCACCCATGTAGCACCGTGCCAACTGTTTTGCTACGTGTCACGTGTACAAATCTAATTTTCTGATTGACAACTGTGACTTTGTCTTTTCGTACTCCTTTCTCATATTTGCTCATCTCGCACGTCCCCAAGGTATTTGCATCTCGACGAATTGATATGATTCTCGATTGTTTATTCGAAAAAGCTCACGTGGATGAAAATTTCGTATGTTGAGAGGAGCTATAAACATATGCATGACAAACATCATGATTGTGTTGTGTCAATTGAGTGCCTCTTGCTATTTCTCGTGGAATCTATCAAGATATGCGAATAGCTTGATACTCTTTAAAATTAAATTCTTTTGATTCAAGAATTAAAATTCAACTTCCATACCTATATATACATCTTTTAAATTTAAATATATCTGTTTGATGGAAAATGGATGAACATTCATCTTAATGCAATCTTGTTAATTTACAGTTACGAAAATATGCGGCAATTGAAGGGAAAGACGAAAGAGACGAACAAACAGAAAAAAGAACGGAAAAAGGAATTCTTGGAGAATAAGCAGAGAGTATTCACAGTTGTGTTGCCTACTGTAGCTGCAATATTTGTGATAATAGCAGCATACGTTTATATTAAAACCCGTCCAAAACTTATTGAATACTAATAACATCTATCACTTCTTTTATCATTCATTCACTCAGACTGAACCATGCTTTGATGATACATAGACAATTTCTCGTTGCATTTTCATGAATATATGAAAGTTTCTCTAAAAGGAGACACATTCCACTGTTCTCTCCGAGACATACCTTGTACCTAAATCACATTGGAAGCAAGATGCTGTTTTTGCAACTCTATATTATTTAATTTGATAAAATATTTTTCAAGCCAAGAATTATATAATATATAAGATAATTATCAGACATAAGGCGCAAAGACATAGGGCACTGTTTTTATGAAAATATATTTACAGCATGAGAAAAGTTCATTAATTTATATTGCATTATGAATAAATGATAAAATTTATTAACATTAGAATAATGCATAAATTATATAATTTATGTCTTCCTTAATTCTTTTTTGTG